TGCAGAAAAGGAAGATGGAGCTATTTCAACAATAGTAATTCGTGGTTCCACAGACAATCTAATGGATGATGTAGAAAGAGCAATTGATGATGGTGTAAATACTTTCAAAGTACTGACTCGGGTGAGTAAAGCCTTGGGGATAAACTGTGTTTTTCTGAAAATAAGCCCTAGATCGGGGTGTCAAACTGCCAGCCCGCAGGCCGGATGTGTCATACCAAAACTGTGCCCACCCCATTGCTGGCAATGGGGAAAAAGTTGTGATATGTCACGACACATCACGTGACGTAAGTTTGACACCCTGGCCCTAGATTGATTTTGGGGGATAGGCCTAATATAAGCCCTACCCCCAAAATAAGCCCTAGTTTTGGGGCAAGGCACACACCTAATAATCAAGCTACGGCAGGGGTGGAGGTGCCCCATGCAACCCACACCTGCTTGCCTTACCGGTAGGACTGCCGCAGCCAGGCCTCTCATGCTCCGACACCTGTTGTGCCACTGCTGGAGTTTTTCTGTGGCCACTTGTGGCCGCATGGCTTGTTTTGGGCCGGTGCTACTGCGTGTGGAAGGAGGCCGCATGGTGCTTCAGGCCACTACTCGTGGCCTCATGCCATGCGGTGCTGATCGAGCTGCTGGTGCTGCTCGCAGCAGGAGGCTGCATAGCACTTTGAGGCTATGCCGCTTGTGGCCACATGCTATGTGGCGCTGCTCGTGCTGGTGCCGCCACTCACGGCAGGATACTACGCAGCATTTTGGGCCAGTGGTGCTGATTGCGGCAGGACGCTCATGCGCACCACAGCCCAGTGCCCCATGGGGCCCTAACTGGGCCAAAACGTGCAGCCTCCTGCACAAGCGGCACCAACATGAGCGGCACCCTGCGGCATGCGGCCACAAGCACCGGCATTGGCCCAAAGTGCTGTGTGGCCTCTTGCCATGAGTGGCAGCACTGGCTCGAAACGCTGCACAGCCTCCTACCGGGAGCAGCACCGGCCTGAAGCAGCATGCAGCCTGCCACGAGCAGCGGCACTATGCGCCATATTGTGTCCGGTGGCAAGCGATTGTTGTAGAAGTCAAGCAGCGATGTGACAGGTGTTGGTACGTGGGAGGCCTGGCTGCGGTGGTCCTAAGGTAAGACATCCCCCCAAAATAAGACCTAGTGCTGCTTTTGGAGGCAAAAAAATATAAGACTGGTCTTATTTTTGGGGAGACATATAATTTGGGGTTATTATATAATGTTCATTTACAGAACTCTAAATGTTTTTGCTATGTTGTATATAATTAGTTGACTCACTTAAAAAGTCAGTCATGTTGGGAGTGATCAATGGAAAAAGGAGAAGGGGCCGTCCTAATACCACTGGTTGGAAACTTATAAAGGATGACACTGGAATGACCGTGGAAGATCTGAAGGAGGCGGTGCAAGACAGAGGGGCATGGGAGAGTGCTAATCCAGAGTGGCCGAGGGTAGGACACAACTGAATGGCTGACAAGGATATAATTGGCATATTATGATTGGCATTTACACAAATGCTTATCTCATTTGTATCAACTTTATTAAAATAATGCATTCATTGTATTCTTAGAATGTCTTTAAAAAAATTCTTTGAAGTTTTCAAGTTTCAGTTTCTTGGCATTTCATACATTTTACTTTTTTGTAGGATAAGCGCCTTGTCCCAGGGGGTGGTGCTACTGAGATAGAATTGGCAAAACAGATAACGTCATATGGAGAGGTATGCTACAAACATATTTTTCAGTCAGATTTCTTTTGTAATTCAATGCAAACAACTTAAAAGCAACCCCCATCTCTGTTCAGACTTGCCCAGGTCTTGATCAGTATGCAATCAAGAAATTTGCTGAGGCATTTGAAGCTATTCCCCGAGCTCTGGGAGAAAATTCTGGAATTAAAGCAAATGAGCTTATTTCAAAGCTATATGCAGTACATCAAGAAGGCAATAAAAATGTTGGATTTGATATTGAGGTAAGACTAGCTACAAATTCACCATAATCTAATGTACAAAATCTTAAATTGATTTCAGTATTTTTCTAAACATATTAAAAAAAGATGCCATTAACGTTTATAATACGTTTAATAGGCTATCACATTTTTCATGGGTGGTTATGTATAGGGGATGGGAGCATTAGGTATGTACATCATGTTGAATGAACAAAAAAATAAAGTGACAATATCTAATAAATTATTAATTAAATAATTAAGAGAGAAATAGTGATTATATCACCCAAGTTATTTTTCTTGGCATCAGTAGTAGTATATCCTAGCAATTTTGAGACACCTAACTATATCAGGCAGACTGGTTATGTTTCTATGATCATACTATAATGTCATTATTTAATACAGATACAATTAAGCATACAGATTTATAGTGCTAGTTCACCATTTGGGTGACACAGCAGATTTAGGGTCTATAAATTAAGGTGAGAGAAATAATAGTTTGTAATCAGAGAGAGACAAAGACAGTTAATCATTCTAGCTTAATTTTAATAGGCTGAAGCTGCAGCTGTGAAAGATATGTTGGAAGCAGGGGTATTCGATACACATCTTGGAAAATACTGGGGTATCAAGCTGGCTACAAATGCTGCGGTAACAGTATTGAGAGTTGATCAGGTGAGTTGGCATAATAGTGTTTTCAGTTTTATACAATATTGGAATACTATTCCAAAAGTTAATTGTAACATTAGATACATTTACAAAAATGTGTTTATATTTGGAGTTGTGTTTTTATGACCAACCTTAATGTATGTTAGTCTGCAGATACCTGTTCGGAGTATAGGTATTCATCTATACAAATAAAATAATAAAATTATTAGGTTTATAAGAATTACTTTTTTAATGAAATATGTCAAAATGTGTATGTGATATAAAATTTCTATAGATTATTGTGGCCAAAACAGCAGGTGGTCCAAAAGCCCCTAAAACATCAGATCACTGGGACAAGGATGACTGGAAAGATGCCCCTGAACAATAGTGTACAGTAAGATATGGCCTCATGTGTAATGTTGACAAGAGTGGAAACTTTGCATGAATGCCTTTTACACTCTGCCTGAAATGGGTATGTTTTGCTCCTACACGCACATATGTCTTGGCCACCGCACTAATACCCTGCTTGAAATGTTAAAATACAGCATCTTACATAAAAAACCCTTTTTAAAGAATTGATAGCACTAAAAGCATATGAGTTGATTGCCAAAAATGACCAAAGGGTGAGTACTCACTTTGTGAAAGAAACTATTGCCTGGTAGACTGACTGGCAATATCATTATACCAGTGTACTCAAATATACCTGAAAAAGTACCCTTGGTATTTAAATCTGTAGATACATCTGTTACTATTGAAGCCATTTTAATTTCCTATTCTATATAGATATAACAGTTTTAAAATAGCTTTGGGAACATGAGGTTTCAGACACAATTGGTCATGAGAACGAGCTTTCACCTTACTGTTTCTTTCATGAAACCTGAGAAAATTGAAGACCCCTGACTCTGCTCCAAAAAGACACTAATATGTAGGCAAAACCAAACACTTAATTTTTGTGTTTTCAAAATGCATTGCCAGCCTATCGTGGCATAAAAACTTATAGTTAAAGTATTAATACACCTGCGTATTTCATCTATTTGTAATCTTTAAGTATGGACAATTTAAAATATCTAAGTCTTAAATTTCTTTTGTAGATTATCATGGCCAAACCAGCTGGTGGCCCTAAACCACCATCAGGGAAGAAGGATTTGGATGATGACCAAAGTGACTGAAAAAATTAAGCACATGTAGACGTGTATCTTGCCAAATGTGTTCCAATTACCTTTAAATTATGAAACTAATCTGTAATAGAAGTTACCTTGAAGCATTTCAATAAAAACAGTTTCAGTAAGCTGTCTTTTTGCCTGATTTAGAAGACATGATTATTTAAAGAGTTGCCAGGCATATATGTGTATCTTGTGTAGGACTTTATTTAGTACTGCTACTAAATAAAGTACCCACACAAGGTACTTACTACTTATTTCAGTACTATACAGCCAGACCATTGAGGAATATAATAGAACTGTTCAAAGCATTCAAAATAGATGTTTTTCAGTGCACAGGACCATAATGAGGAAACTATTTTTCACATGTAGAAGCAGATGAATCTTTTGTGAGAAATATGTGCATGTAATCCAGGTAAACAACTACACAAAGCTATAAAAATATGGCTACATTAACAATTTGAAAATAGGTTCTTTGTATGTGTAGTCAAGGTGCTTTTTTATTGTTCTGCATAACTAATACTTTATCTTATTAAATAACAGAATAATTCATGAACCTTTCATTATGTACGAGACTTTTGGAGGTTGATTACATTATGTATTGCAGAAGACCAGGAAGTAGATTTAGACTGCATTTTTAATTAAAAAATTGTGGCAACTACAATATGAAGAAATTCCCATTATATTACAAGGGACATGTGTGCTATATGAGATAGCATTTGTTCATTTTCTCCTACTCATCATCCAATTTAGAAACAGTCCATTTCCCTCACAGAGGCACTCTTGGTATACAAATAAAATGTTAAAAAACAAAAATTGAATATAAAAATTAATAAGAGGCAAGGATAGTAAAATTTAACATGAAAAGTTAATCAAAAGGTGGGGGGAGATCTATCAGGGCACTAACCAGCCCTACAGCTACTGCTCCTCTGGCAGGCCCAAGGGAGATGGCAGAGCCAGGGAGGGCTTTAGACATTTTTGAAAAACCGGGAGACTTGCCATCTTTGCCTCTGGGGAGAGAATGTTGCAAAGGACTATATAGGGATGAACTGTGTTTTAGCTTTGTAAATAGGGTAGTCAAATATAATTTGACACACCTGAACTGTTTTGCAGGACACCTCACCTACCATTACTTGTGAAAATAAATTGACAGTAATAGTTTGAAAGTTTACTGTCAATTTATTTTCACAAGTAATGGTAAAAAATTACTTGTGAAAATAAATTTAAAAAATTGAGAATAATCTGAGTTTATGGATCAACAAACATGCCCTCTATCATAGAAATTCAGTGCATCAGATATTTACCAAACAAAATTATGTTTATATATATACATATATTTGTGTTTATTTAAAAGAAAAAGTTACATTTAAATTCAGATTTAAGATTTAAAGAAAGTAAACAACATGATAAAGTTTGGTGAAGCTTTCCTAGGTTGGAATTTTTCCAGTTTATAATATTCTTTCATAGAAGAGAAGATACGCCTGTGACTTCAGGACCTTGGATATGGACACTGCTTGCACATGAGTGTCACTTACATGAAACCACTGACTTCTGGGTGACTCGGACTCTGAAGCTGAATTTTTTTAAAAAAATAAAAAAAAATCTTTATTAGTTTTCAACTAGCTCATAGGAATTTAATTTCAAATTATTTTTCCAGAGTAAATTCCTTCTACTTACTCTGTTGAATTTTGTCATGGACAAGATCAGAAAGTTGGCTGGTGGTACTTGTCTTCACATAAGCAGTATAATGACCAGATCTCATAGTGCCACTATGTTCCACAATACCATATAATGAGTACAATACTTCTGAAGTTCCCTCTCTTACATTCTGTAAAAGGAACATAGCTCAAGAGTATTGAAGTAGCATTGTTACCAGCAAAATAAAAATAAAAAGTTGCACTTTAGTTTCTTTAAAAGGCGTATTTTAGTAAAAAGAACATAAAAACAAGCCTAGCTTTGCTGAGCACAAAATATAAAGCATATTCATTTTGAGATAAAATCATATCACTGAAGTATAAACATTATGTCTAGGTAAGATACAAAGGTTAATAATATAATATAATACTTAAAAGGAAATGAGAAGTCTGATCCTGAACATACTAATATTTAAATTTTGACAAAATGACTCAACAGTGGGATTAAACTACCTAAATTTGAGAAATGAATCTCAATGGCAACACTTGAGATACCAGATTTGAAACAGAGAAAGTTCTAGTGAAGAGGTAGAACAGAATGTCAACCGATAAGGAGTACGGGAAAATACATATTTGTATAAAATTACCTGAACAGAGGGAGGAAAAGGCAAAAAAAGTACTTTATCTTAAAAGGAAACAATGAGAAACACTATTTACCACCTTTTTAAATATATAAATAACTCAAGGTGGCAAACACTTAATATTCCTTCTTCCTACTTTCCTCCAAACAACTCAAAGGTGGGTTGGACTGAGAGTACTGCTTCTATTATTTTTACAAATACTTCAAAGTGACAACATATCTCACACACCTTCCTCATTTTGCCCATAGTAACTCTGTGAAATGGGTTGGGGCTGAGAAAGAGAATGACTGGCCCAAAGTCACTCAACTAAGATGGGTCTGCTGCTTTCTAGCCTAAGTGCATTAATTACTAGACCGAACTGGCTCTAACTGAAGTTAGAATCACATACATTTAGGCAAACAAACAGCCCATCAAAGTTTTCAATGTTAAAATTCTTAGAAATAAAAGCAAAGAAGAAGTCTTGTTAATCTGGTGCAACAATTTTTACTAATTCTGGAAATCAGCCTAGAATAAAGCTACAATTGCATGTAAGGGATTGGGCGCTTTTGATCAAATCAGTTTGCATACAACTGTACTCCTCTGAGGAATCAGAAGATCTTGGAAGCTGAAAGAAAATGTCTGCTTGCCTTCCTCCTTTCTGACATAGTCAAGGGAACATTGTATATGTCAAGACTGCTAACATCGGATGTTATTGCTTGCCATATATGAAGAAGCAAACATGTTTTATTTTGCCTGCATATCACTTCTAGAGTTAAAGTCAGACAATGTTAGAATAGCGGGTGGGAAAGTAAGATAGTTAACCACAACAATATTTCAGTACAGCATTGCCAAGGTCAGCTGTAACCAGAGGAGTTACGGGAGGGACAGTTCACACTTCAAACTAATTGGAGAACGTGATTAATGACTGTAAAATGAAGGAGTGAGTTATGCTTTGTTACGGGAGATTGGGGGTAGGAGGATTCAGTTTTTGGCTTCATTATGTACCTGCTAAAGCTATGTAGCAATAAAAGGATTCTTTAAGATAAATAAAACCTCAAATTTCTTTGAAAAGCTGCTTCTTTTCGGAACCATGATAGTATATCAGTCTCCTATTCAAATAAACAGAAATTATCCTACTCAGCTGCTTCATTCAAAGGCTGTGTTTTGTTACCTGCTGTCAACTGTAACATGTAATGTAGCTGTCAAACAGTAATGGAAATAAGATAAAGAGTACTTTATTATTTACCTTGCACTTAATTGAGCAGAAAGGAGCCAAATCCATAACTTCAGGGAATGTTATGTGTTTGTTTACTTTTTGGAGATTATATCCAGCCTTGGAAAGAACCAGAAAATACAAAGTAAGTCCAAAACTCAGCAATAAGCTTATACTGTCCAGAGGATAACTCCCAATTTTTCCAGCCTGTAGCGATAACGTCAAGGCTCTGTGGAATTTGTAATCCCAAGCACCTGGAGACCACTCAGCTGCCCACCCAACATAAAGTTACAGAAGTAAATATCCTAGAAAATCTGGGAAGCCCCCCCCTATTCTTAAAGGCAAACAGGTCTAGTAATAAAATTCAAGTTATTTTCAGGATAAGATGTGATATGGCAATAAACAAGAATGTCCAATAATACTGATGCTTCTCTTAATCACTTCCTACAAGTAGTATTAAACTAAGATAACCGAACTTAAGTCATTAATTATACCTGTTGAAATCTTTTTAAATGAAGGGTTAAAATTGGAGGAGCGTGAGAAATAAGCATTTGTTTTTTGGCATTAGTGTATACATATTTCTTGGCATCTGGAGAAAAAAAAAAGGAAAAACAGATCATGACTTAATAGATATTCAGTAATATTACCTCTTGTGCAAATCTTTAAGTTCACTATGTATAATGAGATCTCATAATTTTGAATTTCCAGCATAATCCACCTGAACATTGAACAAATCAGACTCAATGATTTCTATGGGAAGGAAAAAAGCAAATGCTCATGTTTTATAAAATCCAGAGAAAACTTACCAAGACTGAATCATTTGCTAACAGTTTCTGGAAACAGACATTTATGGTAAATTGGGATTTTGCTTGCAATTTCAAAATAAGTTCAAAATAGTATGTAGACATTTGTATATCTTACAATAAATCATGATATATTATCTGGCATAGATCTGACAGCCCAAAGCCATGTTTGATTTCAATTATTTCTTCCTTAAATTTAAATGTATCTCTCAGAGAAATGTGCTTAGGTTCTAGTTTCTTTTTGCTTCATATTATACAGATACAGGACATATAAAATTCAAAAGTATTGTGCACCTATAATTCAGAATGTTATTTTTTTTACCTAAAAACTATAGCCTCATAGTATTAGCAGTTTTACCTGTGCTGCTGGAAGTCCACTTATTCTACACATCAACTAAATCATGAAACATATAAACTATTAATTCCACTCAGTCTTGCCATACATTCCCTCAGGGTTTTCAAAGTTATATTCAAGCCATATTCAACATATATTCACTATAAACCGGCAAGTTGGGTTTTTTTAGGGATACTTATGTCAATGAGACATAATAACTATCCTTTATAAAATGGGGTAATCATATACTTCTCCCTGTCTAGTTCAATTAAAACAAGAAATTGCTCTTACTCAATGTCTTGATAAGAAAATAAATTCAGTATTGAATTTTGAACAATTCAATACATTGATTAAAAAACAATTTTAACATACTTATTTTATTAGTCTTGATTCCACAGAGTTGATTCCGTGTGCACACTTCACAAAGCAATTTGTTGTTCTCACAAAGTTTCTCAGTATGAGTAAACTGATTCAAGCAATGAAGAATTGAATTTTCTTCTATGTTCATAGTATCCCTGTCTCTAAGAGTACAAAATGCTGTTTCTGGATCTTCATTTACTACTTCATATGTTTGCATTTCAAAATCATAAAACTCAAGCAAACTATCTGTATCATCACTCGGCTCTTCCTCCTCCAGGAATAATTTGCTGAAGTCACTGATAATATCCTCATATTCCTCATCCTTATCTTCCTTGAGATGCAAATCCTCAAAATTATTGACACACTCTGTAGTGGGAACAAAGTCTTTTATAGAAACATCCAAATTAACTTCATTATTTGCCTCTTGATCGCAACTGTCTGCATTTCCATTATGTTTTTCTGCGAACTGTACTTGAATTGTACTTTCTTGCTCATCTACACATTTTTTATCCACACAATGCTCTTTGCATGTGTTTAACGACTCTTCCTCTCCTGGTTTCAGACACTTTATGTCACAGTTACTTTCTATTCTTTGTTTATTGCAATCATGATCAGCTCCAGTTTTTTCAGTGACATCACTCTCTGTTAGATGAATAACTTTCTCCTGAAATTTCTGCTGATGGCGTTGGTTCTGCCAAATAAAACACATTAAAAAAACAAGCATATCAAAACAATAATTAACAGTAATGTATGCTGAAGTTTTATAAGCAATATCATTGTTTTTAAAATTGGAATAAATTGACCTAATGTGTGAGTGAGCCTCTTGATGCAGGTGAAGAAGGAGAGTGCAAAAGTTGGCACTCAACATTAAGAAAACCAAGATCATGGCATCCGGCCCTCTCAAATCCTGGCAAATAGAT